GAAAAACAATCGGTAAGATACGGTACGCAAGGCTGTTTCCAGAATAGCACTGCTGATGGTAAATAACCACCGGTGACACCTCCTACACAAGTGCTTGATTCTTGATATCGAGGCGGGGTTAATGGATCTCTGGTAACCTCAATCACTCGGTGAAAAGCAACGAAAGAATTAAACAATTCTTTTTGTTGTCGTTAAGAGCCGACTCATTCGTGATGAAGCATGGCTCTTCCACGGAAACTCCTACTCCAGGCCTGTCTACCTGTCAAGATTTGGGTCAGGGATTCTCAAAGTGGATCCCGAGGCGTCTATTTCGGTTTCCCAGGGGTCGACATAAACGAAAACTGATTATGGGGGTCGACAAGTTCTAAAAATTGATCAATATCAATTAACACAAGTTCTTATTTGTTACTTTTAAGATAATGTATAAGTTATGTTACGTGTACCAACTTGTTAAAATACTGACTAATATGTCTATTTATTTTGTTAAATTTTAATGAGAAAATGATGTCAAGTTTACTCACTTAACCAAAGGCAAAGGTTTTTAATTTATAAGTATTTTGTAGCAATAGGAAAAAAACTAGATGTAGGATTTTAAAGTACTTTGGCTATAGGGCTAAAGGGGGTCTCTTTTCCAAAATAGCTTGAGAAATTCCTGATTCAGGTATTCAAAATGGATTTATCGAATAACGGAAAACCTGTAAGAACCTCATCCAGTTTTGAATGTAAATGGTCAACGGAAAAAACATACAATTAACCATATTATTTAAATTATCCATAATTAAAACAATAAAAAGGAAATCTAACAAGTAATTTTAGATACTTTAACCACAGGATAACCTTTGAAAATTAATGAAAACCACCACTTATGTCACACTCAAGGAAATCACCTAAGCATACGTGATGAAGAACACCTAACCGTTGAACACAACACTTGTTCTAAACATAATTATATAAAACTCATCGGATCACGTATACTTAGGTGATAAGAAATCTTTGTAGTGATAACAGAATCAATAGGTACTTATTAACTGCATGCTTATTTTAAAGAAAGATATAATTTCTTAATTTAAAACTTGTTCATTTACATAAATATTTATCTTCTTCTTAGGGGTACATTCTAATATTTATATTTTGAGAGTCATTAAGAAATATTGATTAAAGGTATCACGTAAACTACACACAAAAACTTTTAACACTTATTACAGAGACTCGAATCGCGCTTATTTAATTGAAACCGTGACACTCTTTAATCATAAGTCCGTAGGTTTATGTGCACACCCACATTCATTAAAGGCATGACACCGTTAACTAAATCCAGGAATTAATGATTCTCAAATCTTGCAATATTTCATTAAACGTAAAATTATTTTATAAAGGATTTCCCTTTATAAATATAATAAATATATTAACAACATATTGGTGACTATAATAATGAGCAGTCACAAATCACAAAACCTGTATGTCCTGCTTGGGAATTAAATAAAATTAATAAATGAAAGAATAGAAGCGTCGAGTGTAAGATATGTCAAAATCTGTGTCAAAACCTCAACTCCAATGACACCTTCCTATCATTGTTTTTTTTTCAGTTATCACGAACAGTGTGACTTGAACAAAGCAGCAACTGCCATGCTATCAAGTTAAATAAGTTTACGAAGTTTGGAACGAAACTGGATATTTCTGGGGTATCAGGTTAATTGTACAAAGACAAAGTTTGCCCTAATTCTGTTCATTTTGTTTTTGTGGGTAACACCAATGTCTAATATTCTGTGAAACATGCATTCTTTATTCGGACGGACTCACCCAAAATGTGATTATAATTACTGAGAAGTACTTAAGAGAACCGATAGTTGAATTAATAACTCGATGGTGAGTAATTTCCATTAGGGTTTTAGTAATTATCATGTAGGGACATTATCGCACTTATAGAAGTAAGAAAAAACTTAGATGAGGTAAATAGTAAAACATACGCATACGGACGTGTGCAGTTCTCTTCTAATTACAAATTACTAACTTTTAAAGAAGAGCTGTTGGATTTGTCTGTTTATTTTTCTTTTATGGGTATAACTCGATATAAAAGTATCGAAATTGGCGAAGGCCAAGGATGAACAACTTTTCATCATTACCAATGAAAGTTAAAACGAAGAAGGTTTTTTTCAAGCTTACTATTTTGCAAAAGTACTATTGCTTTGTCTTAGTGGCATGAAGCAGTGTCCCAATGTAACAATACAACGTAACGAGCTGAATCAAAATTACCGATAACTCGATGAAATCAGTTAATGTAGATAACCGTAAGTTCGTTTAGCTCAAAGAGGCCGCGGTACAAGATAAGTATTAATATTGTATTACGTTTCCAAGTATAGTGTAATCCTGATCATCAAACGAGCCGCGTTAAGGCGTCATTTTCAGCGTTCGCCTTCGTTATTGTAAGTTGAAACTTTGGAAAGATGGTTTTGCATCAGAAATTCTGCTGAACAGTAAAAGGTTGAACCTGCTTTTATTAACTTTGCTGTTATATTTGCAGCTTCTGAACTGACTACATATGTATCTCTTCTCATGTCTTACTAAATATACTAAGATGTTGTTGTTAAGATGACATTTATTGTTATATTACTTCAATAGTACTATTTTAAACTTTAAAGTGCTTTTAGGCATAAAATTTCAAATTAGTGCTAGCACCCAGCTTCCCTCCAACTTCAACAATTTAAGAATTTATTTCAGCGAGTCTTAGACAAAAAACCGTGTACCTATCTCATTTAAAGCCGGTGATAGGTACTGAGGAAAAAAGCTATTAATACATTTATACAGGAGGAAATCACTTTTGAGTGTAACTCGTATAACGTAAATAAGAGATTTTCAATGCTGGATAATAAATATCTGTATTAATTATTTGAATCCAGTCCAGTGTCTTCACAAACATTTCGAGTATTATTTTAGAAAGTTTCAAAAATTTTCAGTTTCAAAACCACCGGCACACATCTTGGATTTGAAATTTGTCATAGTGTTCCTTGAATTTGATACACATATTGAGGGAGGTGTGAAAAAATATGTAATCCGCCATTTTGTTGCGGCGGCCATTTCGGACCGATTTTCATCAAACACAGAATAAGAACACTCCCGACTAATTAAAAAAAAGCAATCAAAATCGGTTCATCCGTTCGGGAGCTACGATGCCAGAGACAGACACACACACAGACACGTCAAACTTATAACACCCCGTTGTTTTTGCGTCGGGGGTTAAAACAAAACCCGCTTTTAAAGATATATTGGACTTTAACCAGTTACAGTCAATCATGTTCATAGTTGTTTATATTTCATCACAATAACAGATAATTTACTTAAACAAAGGCACATGTTCGGCCAGATCCTTACCGAATACATAACGAGTAAAAATCAAGACAAGTACATTAAGTAACCGGCTGGTTGTATATAAGTGGCGCATACCAGCCAGTCAGGTTATTAGCACGCATTGTCTGGACAATAATAGGTCGCGAGGCGCGCACGCGCACCGAACAGTCGATGTACTACGGACACCATAAACGTCGTTGAAAATCAGGACACTATTTATATTATTCAGCTATCGATATAACATAGGTTGTAATACTTTATATGAAGTTAGCTTTGATTATACATAGTTAGTTAAATAGGAGATAATGAAAAGTAAGTTCTACGATTACAGTTATTAATTAGTACATATTAGCTATGTTAGAGTAGAAATCTTCATAAATAATAATATAATAATAATAATAATTCCTTTATTGCAGGTACAAGGTCCCATATTTGTTACAAAAATTCATAGAACAACGAAAAATAATAATAATACAGAGATGATAATAGATACAACTTTTCTTTCAAATAATAATTAAAATCATAACAATATTCCATTACCAAGCAGATATAAATATAATTAAATACTTAAAATCTAAACACAAATCATTTAAATTTAATTTAAAACTTAAAATAAAATATAAATAATTAAGATCGGGTAAAAATAAATAAAATAACAATAAAAAAAAAGACCTTAAATAGAACAACCTGTCTTGTTATCAATTAAACTCGAAAATAAATAATTGTAATGAATTGTATCTACCTATTTACGGTTTCGACTCCGATGGACGCTGCTCCAGTGCTTTAAAATTAATAAAATGCATACCAATTTCATGAGATTTGTAAGTAACTACGTAAGTAAGTACACTAAAAGCCAAAATATTGACATGAAAATATTTAATAAACTAAGAAGTTATTATTATAAAACATATGTATAGGTATGCACATCCTTTTAACCAATATGGCCCGACATAAATCGTGAACATTATGTGTCTATCGTCGGCTCTTCAGTTACTCACGTAAATAAGAAGCCCCACAAAACTATTTATATCTGTATTACGAAACAATTCAGAACTTTGGAGAAAATAAATCACTAATACCTTAATACAAAATCCAATGACCAGCTCTTTAGTAATTAAAGGACTAAAAGAAAAATCTTATTTTCCGTGAGATAAGACTTAGCACGGAGTTATCCTACGTTTATACAATAAATATGTTCACCCTATGTTACTTGAACCAAGTCTTGATAGTTCAGAATGTCAATATTAAGTACTATCTTAAGTGATAACAAAATAATGGTATGAAAACGCTACCTTAAAACGTAATCTCTAGCCACTTGGCACGATTTTTTTACTAAATTTGTTCTTGCAATGGCCCACCCACAGATAGGTGAATAGATTAGGTACCCTCATTTCTCACCGATCAATGATTTACGTCAAGTGCTGCAGGAAGCCGCTGATAGCGTCAATGACTCAACCTCCTTTGTGGAACTGACGAGTTTTCACGAAATTTATGTTTCGAAGTTTTAAAACTTAGGTTAAGGTTTTAGCTTCTGATCACTGATTTGAAATTCGGTACCTCGCATAACATGTTATCATTATAACCTATGTACTCTTATCAAAGATATTGACACTCTAACAGTAATAGGTCTGTCAATCAAGATAGTAGAACTTAAAATGAAGGACAAATCACTACAAGAATTTTTATATGTTAACCCCCAAGGGTAATCACTGCCCCAGGGTCAAATAATAAGGTGATGAATCAGACACAGACCGATTAAAATCATACAGTATAAGTCAGGACTTATTGCCGCTGACTTAGGTGTACCCTGGAAAGGAAATACCTGTAAACTCATATCAATTTCATCTGAAAAATACTTTCAAGTATTCCTGTAACCTTTCCCTACCTAAGCTGTCTAGGGTAGCTGATTCAGAAAAGAATACACCCGCTTCTCTGATTTGTGTAAGTTACACTTGAAGGATTATTGGCATTATTCATGGTATCAATACTATTGATTCACTCTCAATAAAAAGCTCTCACGTATAGGCGGCTAGACAAACGCGTATAATTGCTGCGTAAACCGTAAAGTGATGTCGTTTTATCTAATTTGAACTTAATACATTCGCTATGAAAGTTGCTATTAATTTAAACATCTTGATAAGGTATTTGTTATATTTTTCGATAATAAATCTTTATCAGGACCGAAAGGAATGTAAGAAAACAAAATTATAAGGAAAATGTTTTAGCATCGAAGCATTGCTGTATACGAATAGCAAAACAAACTACATGCAGTATAAATATACGAACAATGAGAAAATTGCAGTTATAAATTTAACAAAGTACCAGCTTTTATCAAGTTGAATATATGTACTTATACAAAGAGGTCCTGTTCCGATATTCTATTGTCTTCTTTGTACAGATACATACATATGTAACATAGGCTATACATTAACAAGAAGCACTGACAGGTTTATTGTCTAAATTGGTTATAAGCAAATTGCGACGCAATTTTTTTTTACGAATGCCCGAGTTAAAAAGTAGCTGTTCGTTGTTCATAGATAGACTGGATTATTTTACTAATCAACGAAGTTCTCACAGATAATATTGGTCACTGAAGACAATATTGGTATTCTCGTAAATCCCTCCGACTAAAATAACTGGTTGTGATTGGGATGAATTTTCATCAGTAGTTTACTAAGGGCTCGACCTGCAACCACTCGTTGGCAAACCTGACATGATAAAATTGTAGAATATAATGTAATAGTGTTTACTTCTTAATAACGTAGGTATTTTTTCTTCTTTGTTTAGGCGCAGGCGCGGTAGACCGTCGCGGGCCATGCAGGGAGCCGCCAGCGCCCCCGCGCCACCCGCGGCTGAACCGCCTTCATCACAACGTAAGTCAATTACTACTTAAATTTATATATTTATACAATTGAGATATGTAATATTCAAACTAAAAACGAATGATAGCTTGTAGCGCAAACTGTTGTCTCTGCAGAAATCAGTCTAGACTGAAGGACGAAACATAAGTAAATAAATTAAGTAAATCTTTAATAATATTTTGCATTGTCACATCTGTAATAAATATAGACCTACCTGACTATACCATCTGCTCAGACATATCATTTCATTGACGATTAAGATTGTGCTCAATCCGACACCGATGTGAGGTTGCGCACGCGTCGCACCCGACACCTGAGCATTTATACGACTACCCTCAGTTCACGTTACACGTTTAGAAACAGCTGATAATTTTTACGACTCGGCATCCGGTATTGACAGCCATATAGTCTGGATTCTTTTATAGAGTATGTAAAATAGCTGAGGCTTGCAAACTAACTTTTATAGTCTTTTTTATTGATACTTCAAATAGAAGTAATTAAAATGTGTATTTCTTATCTGTGGCGTGCCATCACAGGTGTATCTACACTTGCTATTTTAAATTATGCTGAAGTAATTTAAAATAAGTCTATAATAATGATAGAAATTTATAGATTTGCTGTTAAATGATGTCCAGATGTATTCATATTTTTAATTTATTTCATAATCTTCCAATTTACATTAAAACTAACAGTAAGCCGTGATGTCATGACATAATATTTCGAACAAAACGTACCCTCCCTAACAATTTGACGTTTATTAAAAAGGTTTATTTTAAATAAGTTAAGGTACTATTTAAGGTTTTTCCATTTACGGCTTTGACACAAAAACAGCGTGTATGATAAAACCCTTTGAAACCCGCTGTTCAAACTCGGAAAGATTTTTCAAACCAAGGCGAAGTTTCGTAAGTCAAATAAAACACAAAATATCTCATTAAAGACTCATTAAGACAATCGGACACGGAATTTGGTTTGCTCAGCCGAAGCGGCGATCTCTAGAGAGCAAGGGAAACATCCTTTTGTTGCGTAAACACCTGTGTACACACATCTTAAGGCCATTCATACAAACAACGGTACCTCAAATAAAATCTGACTAGGTCACACTCGCAAGCTCACAAAAGCTTGCTAAGTTGGAGGAAACTAGATAACTAAGAAATATTAATTCTTAAGAGACTTTAGAAACAAACTCATCTTGTAAAATTTGGACACCTACATCCAAAAGCTCCATGTGACACGATTTTGAACGTGACACGTGACACGATCACTGAATAAATACTTTACGGTGTACATATTTTGTATTTAATTTATACGGTAACATTTCACAAACGACATACTTGGAGATTATCTTGATATTGAATTTTAAAGTACATCATGTGTGATTTTCTGCAATACTCTAAATAATAACCTTGTATTGTTGTGATTCTAATTCCATAGTAATTTGATTCTCATGATATTTCAAAGTGGAGCTTAATATAGATTGAAGTTTCGTGCAACTAACCTCATTTTTTAATATTTGAACAAACTAGAATTCTATACGACTGTTTCATTTGTCCCATTGTGTGCAGTATTTTACCTTCGTATCTCCCAACGTTTTGTTAAAACATCGTCACGGTGAGTCACGGACTTAGCTTTAAATGGAAGTCTTGTTTTCCAAAGAGTACAATAGATTAGATTCCCTAATCAAAATACATTCTCACTGACAATTTTTTTATCAGTTCAATAAGAAATTGAATTAAGTTCCACGGTAAAATCCGTCGTTGATTCATCGATTGTTGCCATTTTTTTTTACTGACTACTCAAGAATTCTTAAAAATAATTAATTTAAACAATCAAGAATATTTCTCAAAAGTTTTATTTTTATTTGTGCCTCATGAAATTTAGTTAAACATCTTTTTTTAATTGTAGGTATATAGATGTTACTTCAGGATAACCTAATAAGCGATAGAAATAAAAACTTAATTACCCATTTCCTGTATTTACTACTTCAAAATATATATACAGCTAGAATATCACCTGCATAATTTTGTGCCAGTATCTAATGCAAATACACATTTATCATGAGTTTATGTCTAAGAAGTTTTACATGTTCTCTGACCGATTAGGATGTCTAAAAGTGTACTTGTGCTAACGGTGCTTTATCTGATAACCCATTTAAGTCTTCCGGTCCTAATTGCTCTGTTTGACAAATAATGACCATCCCGTAAAAGATTGTTACAGTTTCGGATGGCGTCATGGTAAACATACAAATAAAAAATATTATTTAGCATTTTGATACTCCTTGTTAATAATACTTTTTCTGTTCTACTAAAATTATTACTGACTCCCGGTTCTCTATTATCTTATTTAAAATAAATACAATCTAAAATACTTATAAATATCAAGTGTTACGGTGTTTCTGGTCACACTCCTTCTAAATGGCTTGACCGATTTTTATGTTTTTCTTTGTGTATTTGGTAGGTCGTAAAGTGTGATTTTATTTTACTTAGGTTTGTTTTCTTTGAAAATTTATATGGCAGAACGTTTGGCGGGTCAGTCAGTATTAAATTTAATTAAGAAGTTAATTTAAGTTAGATTCACGTGTAACTTTAGTGTATTTATGTAAGACTAGACTCACGTAATACTAATATGTAATTTGTAAGCGATAAGAAAGGTCAAAAAATAACAGTGTATAAATAAGTATTGTAATAAAGTTATATTTTTAGACTTATATTGCTCATAGAGTACTTTGAACTTTGTCGTAGGAGAGTTATGCTTCAGTACATATTATTGGCCGGCTTGAGCGGAGTGACGCCATGGCCTCATAGAAAACTGGTGTTCAACAATTCATTTGCTACTTTCAACCAAGTGATTCATGTTACCGCCCAGCCCAACCAAGTCTGGAAGGAGGCGACAATCAAAGAGCGACAACTCTTGTATCTTTTGAGTTGTATGTATCCATGTAGTCACTTATCTATAGGTGACCCATCTGGTGGTGGTTATGTTAACGTACAAGCCACTGTCATTCCATTAAAACGTTATTGAGATGCCATTGATATCGGTGAAAATATTGGTATTCTACTAATATAAATTCACATTCAATAGACTGTTGATGTAGTGGCAAATATCGGTATTCTACTAATATAAATTCACATTCAATAGACTGTCGATGTAGTGGCAATGTCTTATCAATGGTGATATTAACAACTTTGCTATATCTGGCAAAATTCATAATATAATTTCCTTACAAATTTAAAATGTGCCTTTTAGTAAACTATTACAAAGACTTCGATGACATTTGTATCAGTGGCAGTTCAGTGACAAGTCATGGAATTAGCATCTTGTTGTAGTGACAACACTACACTTAGTGCAGTGATACTTCTCGTAAAAGACTTGCTGTTTTTGAAGTGCTTTCGATATTCCTTTATCTACTTTGTCTGCTTATTGTTGTGCTTAAAATTTTCATAACGGAAGCGTTCAAACCAAAAACTCATCGTTCATTGACTCGCGGCACCTGATCCATGTCTATAAGTCGTAGATATGACGTACCGTCTGTGCTGTATTCGAAAACAACGCGCAATTTCGATGTTTCATTCGTCACAAAAACAGTATCGAAGAAAATAAGAGCGGCGGAAAACAAATGAACTTATTTTTTAAAGAAAATTTAAAAAAATGTTATTATTGTACCTAAATTAAAAAAAAAAACGTTTATAATAAATACAACACATAATAATATAATAATAAACAACAATAATATCTATAATAATAATATACCTCACACATCTCACACACGGCCGTCTGATCCCAAACACTTGCAGGCAGAGCCTGTGCTTTGGTAACTAGACTGCTGATAAACATACTTATATATTTTAAAATACATACATTTTATAGATAAATTACACCCAGCCTCAGAACAAATGACCGTGTTCATCACAAAATATTTGTCCTGGGTAGGAATCGAACCCTATGACCTCTGGTTTAGCAGACAGGGTCACTAACCACTAGACTAACAGGCCCGTCAACAACAATAAAACGTTTGTATTTGGAATTGTCAGTTGATTGAATGAAATTAAACAATTTCCATCTAACGTTCATTCAGAGCATCTTGTGCAGCGTATGTAGGTAGATTTCTTAGATAGATAATATAATATATATTATAATAAAAAAAACATATGTCAATCAGGTCACGATCATCAGGTCGACACTCCTGCCATCTCTCAGGCCCTTAACGTATTAACATTCAATTATTCACATCTCTGCCGTAAAACACTTCCCTCTCCCTCCTCACCACAACCCGCGACCTGCGCATACGCTTAATTGGAACGCTTTTCCGTTTGGAGAAAGCGAGTGATCAAGTGGAAACCATTTTTGGGCGTGCGATTGATTGATTTCTTATAGAGATGCTACTTAAACGGAATAAATCGATAAAATATGTTTTACACTTAAGATAAAAGGTTAATTTGTTATAATATGATAAGAAACTAAACTATTTCATTAAATAATTGAAAAGTAAGATTTCGAAATCTCCACATAAAATGATTACACTAAATATACTTAAATAAAGTAGGGAACACTGATAATAAAAAAAAAATGCAAGAACAAGAAATGCTGTTTAAGGTACTAATAGTCACTCTCTGTTTCGAACTTTAACCAAAGAGATCGGTAAACGAATGGTCCGAATCTGATGGATACCTTTGCTACGCAATAAGACGACATAAAAATTAACTAAAAGAAATTACTTCAAATGCTTACCTAACAAAACATATTTACGTAATCAAAAGAACCTAAATGTCTAATTGCATTATCTTCTAATCTTGAACTTCAACTCACAGGTAATAAGACACCTCCTTGTAACATGATCTTTATTTACACCCATCAATATTAAGACAATTTCAACTATGTTCTTAGAAAACACACATTTGCTGGTATCCGCTAAAATCGATGAATGTGACACCTCAAAATGGATGTTATTCAAATTGTTATTTCCTTCAACATTATAAACAAATGTTTATGTTAATCTACAGCTTAGCTTACTTAGA